CAGTGCAGCATAGTATTCCATTGTGTGAATATACCACAACTTCTCTAGCCATTTGTTTGTTGATGGACACTTGGGTTGTTTCCAGCTCTTTGCTATTGCGAACAAAGCCAGAATAAGCATGGGTGTGCATGGAAGACAAGAGTAATTGATTCCTTTGAGTTGCAGTGTTGGAGAAGAACATTGAATATCCCATGGACTGCCAAAAGAACAAACAGATATCTCTTGGAGAAAATTTAGTTGGAATGCTCCTTGGAGCCAAAGATGACAAAGCTTAGCTTCACATATTTTGAGCAAGTTGTTGAAACAGGCTATTCCTTGGTGAGGGGCACCATGCTTGGAAAGGTAGGGAAGTGGCAAAAGAGAAGAAAACTCTTAACCAGGTGGATTGACACAGTGATGACAGAAATGGGCTCTAGTGTGTCAGGAAGAGTGAATATGGCATAGGATCAGACAGGGTTCAGATAAATTTCTTATAGAATCTCTATCAGTTGTACAGTACTTGACAGTACTTAAAACAGCAATAACAACAACAATCATTGGACATATATTATGGATCATACATGGTGCTCTTTATTACCATTTTAATGTATTGAAAACAAAGATACCAATTTGAGAACTAAAATGCACTTGACTTGATCCCTAGTATTAATGTAAAAGGTGGCAATGAACAAGGAAATTTAAAGAGGTATTTGACTAAGGGAATTCATAAACAATTTTGAATACAGCATAAAACAACAGAAGAGTGAACAAACCTCTCTTGCCCAAAGTATAGCCAGACTAGACCTCATTGCTTATTTGTTCCTCACTCTTTCCTAATCATCCAAATTCTATTGAAAATATTCATCAGTTTAATTTTCAAAAGAACTTTACGTATTTTTTTGATTTTTTTTTTGTTGTAGGCAGCATATAGCTGTACCTCCTCTTGTTGTTGTTATGTGCTATTGAGTCGCTTGCAACTTCTAGCGACTCTATGTGCAACAGCTCTGAACCCTGCTCTGTCCTGTGCCAACTTCATTGCCTCTGACACACCTATCCTCAATCAGTCACTGAATCAGTCCATATCATTGAGAGTCTTCCTCTCTTATGCTGTCCTTCCACCCTCCTAAGCATGAAGTCCCTCTCCAAGGACTGTTTTTTTTCTTTCAACATGCCCAAAGTATGTAAGATAAAGCTTCAGAATCCTTGCTTCCAAAGAGCATTCTGGTTTCACCCTCTATAGGACAAATCGGTTTGTTCTCCTAGTAGACCATGGTATATTCAACACTCCTCTTGAGCACTACCAATCAAAGGTATCAATTTTCCCTCTATCAACCCTAGTCATTGTCCAGCTTTCTGATGCATAGCAAGTAATTGTGAAGACCATGGCCTGGATAAGATTCACCTTAGTCTCTAGACTGAAATTGTAGCTCTTCATTACTCTGGAGGGGTCCCTGATAGGGTCCCTGACAGCAGAATTTCCTAAAGTAATTAATCTTTTAATTTTCTGGCTACTAGTACCAAGAGTGTTGATTGCGGAGTGAAGCAAACCAAACCTGTTAACAATCTCAATCTCTTCACCATCTATCATGGTGCTGCCAACTGGCCCAGACGTGAGAATCTCTATTTTTTTTTTAATCCATATTGAAGGCTGTAGCCCTTAACTTTTTGCAGCAAGCACTTCAGATCCTCCTTGGTTTCAGCAAGCAAGGTTGTGTCATCTGCATAAGACTCTGATGAGTCTTCCTCCAATCCTGATGACACATTCCTCCTCATACAACCCAGCCTCCTGGATGATCTGTTTTGCATATAGATTGAAAAAGTATGGAGATAGGACACATTCCTGGCATATACTCTTCCCTGTTTCGAACCATTCAGTGTTTCCTTGTTCTGTTCTGAGAGCTGCCTTCTAGTCCAAGTATAAGTTTCACTTAAGAACAATCAAGTATTTTAAGATTCCCATTATTCTCAGAATTAGCCACAGCTTGTTGTGATCCACAAAGTCAAATGCTTTTGCACAGTCAATGAAACACAGATAGACATTCCTCTGGTACTCCCTACTTTCAGCCAAGATCCATCTAACATTAGGTATAATATCCCTAGTATCACAGCCTCTTCTAAACCCAGTGAGCACAACTGGCAGTTCTTGGTTGTTGTGCTGATACAGTTGTTTTTGGATAATTTTCAGCAGAATCTTGCTTGAATGTTATATTAATGATATTGTTTGATAATTTTCGCACTCTGTCTGGTCACCTTTCTTTGTAATAGGAACAAATATAGATCTCTTCTAGTCAGTTTGCCAGGTAGTTGTCCTCCAGCTTTCTTGGCACAGCTTGGTAAGCACATCCAGTGCAGCATCTGTTTGTTGAAATATGTTAACTGGTATGCTTTCAATACCTGGGGCCTTGTTTTTTTCCAGTTCTTTCAGAGCAGCTTGAACTTCTTTCTTCATCACCATAGGCTCTTGCTCATATGTTGTTTCATGACATTTTTCCACGTCTGCCAATTCCTTTTGGTACAGTGACTTTGTATACGCCTTCTACCTTCTTTTACTGCTTCCTGTATTTACCCTTGGCAAAAGCTTTAATTTTCTATTTTGAACTTTAAAGAGTTTTTGTAATGTATAGGGTAATCTCTAGTGACCTAGTGACAAGAAGCTGTGTGGTTCAAGGCCGCCAGCTGCTCCACAAGAGAATGATGGGCAATCTCCTCCATCTCCTCCCATGTGATAGCCTCTGAAAACCCACCGGTTCCAACTCTATGGATCAGTTCTGACACAATAACCACCACAACAACAGGGTAGTGTTGAATATTTTAGTATTTTCTTCCCAATTCATTAATTTTTAAATTAATTTAATCCTTTATTTTTGAGAATAATTATTGTAATAACTTTATAATAATTCTCTCAGTTGGAAAAAGCAGAACTGACCATCATAAATTAGTATATTTTAATAAAATACATTATATTACCCTATAAAATCTAGATGATCCTACTGTATACTTTAAAAAATACAGAAATTATTGTTGTAAAAGATTTTTTTTGCTTATATAAACATGTATGTAAAATTTTATTCTCCTCAATTTCTTTCTGTATTTCTAAAGGGTACAGGCACCACACTATGAAAATGTTAACATCAAGAAAGAGCAGCAGCAAAACCTTTGCTCATCTAAACCACGATTTTATGATATAATACTACTGCTAGAAGAAAAAAAGGTAAACTGAGAAGTAGCTGTTTCATCTTAAAAATCACCTTGTAATTTTGAAGATAGTGAATTCTCTTATTTCACGGTTTAAAGTTCTCCAGTTATCTACTGTTCTTGGTACCTCGTCGTTGAAGGAATGATGCTTAATATGTCCGTCAAGTGATCACTGTTTCTACTTTAATCTTTCTTTAGTTCTTCTCTGGGAAGCAGTCTTTTGCATATTTAGCATAATATGAAACTTTGATTATTCTCTTTTTATGGAGATACTAATATGCAGACCATATACTCTTTATATTGATGTTAATATGTGAACATTCACTTTCAGGAAAATATTTTTTGAAGCTCATAGTTCTTTCTCAACTTCAAGTATATCTACTGCTACCAATTTTGCTTTCTTCTTAAATGGTCCTCAGTATACAACTGAATTTTACACTGAAATTTTACAAGCTTTGTTATATTATTTCATAACATTATTGTTTTCTACACAAGGATGGTGTTTGTACATGATGTCACAATCAAACATAGGGTCACAATGAATTGTAGTTGACTCAGTGGCACTTAAAATCATGAAAACCAAATATACGACATTGCTTTGAAAGATACTGAATTATAAAATCAGAAACCTTGGTGTTTGGTGGGAGTGAATGAGGGAAAGATGTAAATAAGAGTTGAGGATTTTATTGTTTCTTAGTTTTTCTAGTGAGATAAAATGCTTTAAATTTGAAACCATATTTAAAAGTAATTTCCCTTTAATAAGTATATATTTTTATTAATTTAGGGATTGATTAAGGGTGTCGTATCTCATCTTAACTTTTGGTAGTTCCCTATGATGTATTGTTCTAGCCAGTTTTGGATGATCTTCAGCAGTGTTTTGTCTGCATATGGTATTAATTGTTTCATAGTTTCCATATTCAACTGTATCACGTTTCTTGAGAATGGGAACAAATGTGGACCTCTTCAAACCTGTTGCGCAGACGGCCATCCTCCAGATTTCCTGGCACAGACGGGTGAATGCATCCATGCTGCATCCATTAATTAAAACAAGTCAATTGATATTCCATCGACTGCTGGGGTCTTACTTTTTGTCATTGCCTTCAATGCAGCTTCCACGTCCCACTTCATTACCACTGACGCCTGTTCATATGATACTTCTTAACTTCCTCAGTGTCAATCAGTTCATTCTGGTACAATGATTCTTTGTATTCACTCTGTTTTCTTTGGGTGCTTTCTGAGTCATTCAATATATTGCCCATGCCATCTATCAGTATTGAGACATGAGGCTTAAATTTGGTTTTCAGTCCCCTCAGTTTGAGAAATACAGAATGAGTTCTTCCCTTTTTATTCTCCAATTCCAGCTCTCTGAACATTCCATTATAATCTTTGCTTTATCTTCCTCAGCTGCTGTTTAAAATCATCCATTCAGCTCTTCTACTTCAGCATATTTAACTTTTGTTTTGGCTTCTCACTGCTCTAGTGCAATTTTTAGAGTCTTTTCTGGCATCCATTTCAATTTTTTCTTTCTCTTCTGTTTTTGTAATGACCTTTTACTTTCTTCATGGATGATATTTCATCCCACAAGTCATCTGTGCTTCTATCATTGGTATCCAATGCTTCAATCCTATTCCTAAGATGATCTTGAGATTCAGTTAGAATTGATTCAAGATCGTTTCAAGATTCCTGTGGACTTATTTTCACTTTTTGGCCTCAACTTGAACTTGCATATGAATATTTGATGATCTGACCCCCAGTCTGCCCCTCACTTAGTATTGACTGCTGATATTGAACTTTTCCAATGATGTCTTCTACAAATGTAGTCAGTCTGATTCCAATACAGCACATCAGGTGAGTTCCACATGTAGTCTTCTTCGATGTCTTCCCATTGAGTTGCTTGCGACTCATAGTGACTCACTGTACAAGAGCTCAAAATGCTGCTCTAACCTGTGCCAACCTCGCCGTCTCTAGCACACTCATTCCTATCATCCCAATAGTAGAATCGATCCATAACATTGAGGGTCTTCCTCTCCTACGCCGTCCCTCCACTCTCACAAACATGATGTACCTCTCCAAGGACCAGTCCCTCCTTGCAACATGCCCAACGTATGTCAGACAAAGCTTCAGAATCCTTGATTTCAAAGAGCATTCCAGCTTCACTCTCTCCAGGACAAACTTGTTTGTTCTCCTAACAGTCTATGGTATATTCAACACTCTTCTCCAGAACCACAGCTCAAGGAATCAGTTATCTTTCTATCATCTCTAATCACTGTCCAACTCTCCGGTTCATAGCACATAATTGCAAAGACTATAGCCCAATTCAGGTGCACCTTAGTCTCCAGCCTGATGTCATTGCTCTTCAGTACTCTTAGTGAGCACATCAAGGGCAGTGTCTGTTGAAATATGTCAATTGGTATTCCATCAACTCCTGGAGTCCTGTTTATTGATAATTCCTTCAGAGAAACTTGAATTTCCTCTTTCATCACCCCAGGCTCTTGCTCACATGTTATTTCATGAAATTCTTCTATGTCAGCCAAGTCCTTCTGATACAGTTACTTTGTGTACTCCTTCCATCTTCTTTTAATGCTTCCTGGATCATTTGACATTCTACCCAAAGTATTCTTAAGTATTGACACCCGTGTCTTGAATTTGTTTTTCAGCTACTTCAGCTTAAGAAACGCTGAGCGAGTTTGGCCCTTTCGATTTTCTCACTCCAGGTCTCTGTACATTTAATTATAGTATCTTCCTTTGTCATCCCAAGCTGTCTTTTGAAATTTTCTGTTCAGCTCTTTTATTTCTTGGTTTCTTCCTTTTGCTTTAGCTTCTCAGCACTCTAATGCAATATTCAGAGTCTCATCTGACATCCATCTTGGTCTTTTCTTCTTTTTCAGCCTTTGTAATGATC